GGGGGGGGGGGGGGGCGATGGGGGGGACGAGGCGGCGCCCGAAGCGATGCCCGCGCAGGCGCAGCAGTCCCAGGAGGCCGAGGCGCCCACGCAGGGCGTGCGGGAGGGGAGGAACCTGCTGAAGCTCCTCCAGGAGAGGGGGGGGGAGGAGGAAGGAGGAGGAGGAGGAGGAGGAGGAGGAGGAGGAGGAGGAGGAGGAGGAGGAGGAGGAGGAGGAGGGGGAGGAGGGGAGGAGGGGAGAGAGGGGGAGGAGGAGGGGGGAGGAGGGGAGGAGGAGATGAGGAGGAGGAGGAGGAGGAGGGGAGGAGGCGGAGGTGGGCGGCGGGATGACGAAGGGCGAGGAGCAAGGAGAAGGATGACGTGTAGCAGGAGGAGGAGGAGGAGGAGGAGGAGGAGGAAGAGGAGGAGGAGGAGGAGAAGGAGGACGGGGGGAAGGAGGACGAGAGGGAGGAGAAGCCTTCACTTGCCTCATCCTTCCTCCCGCGCCCCCCCTCCCGGTATGCCTCCTCGCTCCCCTCCTCGTCCTCCTCGCAACCCTTCTGTCCTTCTGTACCTCCTCGTCCTCGTTGCCATCATCCCTCCTCCTCCTCCTCCTCCTCCTCCTCGCCCTCGTCCTCCCTCTGCCCCTCCTCGGGGGAAACTCCCCCCCCCACCCGAGGGCGCTCTTCTAGCTGGGCCCGTCCCCCCCCTTCCCCGCCCGGGCAAGGACGGCGAGCGCGAGAGGGACGCCGGGCAGAGCGCGCAGGGCCCAGCCGATGCCGCCTGCGTTCGGAGGTCCCCCCTGCATCCCCTCGCGTCGTGAAGACGTCGCGGAGGGAGGTGTTCTGCAGAAATTGTGCGTGTGTGTGTGTGTGCGTGTGTGTGTGTGCGCGTGTGTGCGTGTGTGTGCGTGTGTGTGTGCGTGCGTGCGTGTGTGTGTGTGTGTGTGCGCGCGTGCGTGCGTGAGTGCGTGCGTGTGTATGTGTGTGTCTGTGTGTGTCTGTGTGTGTGTGTGTGTGTGTGTGTGTCTGTGTCTGTGTCTGTGTCTGCGTCTGTGTCTGTGTCTGTGTCTGTGTGTGTGTGTTTGTGTTTGTGTGTATGCGCGCTTGAAAGTGCATGCGACATGCATATGCGCGCAAAAATGCACCGCGATTGGGGCCGTCGGAAAACGAGCCAGGATGAAGCACGGGTACCCGGGAAGGGGCCTGGACATCTGGGGGCCCACGCGATTCAAAAAACGGCCGCCATGAACGCAGGCCTTCGCAGGTCCGCGCGGACGTCTCAGGTCGGCGCCGAGGCGCCCCCTGGGGGCGCCTCGGCTGGGCCTGTGCCGCCGTCGAGCCCGTCGTTGCCGCGGCTGCGGTCTCGACGAGGAAAAAGCTGCATGGCCATCAACTTCCGGGACCACCCCAACCCAACCCGAAGGCCTCCGGCTGCCCTCCCCGAGAACCGAACTCCCGCGCAGAGCCGACAGCACCACGGCGCCCATACATCCAGGAGCCCCCTTGGACGCCCCGCAGCTCGCGCCCTGCATCCTGCGCCTCCTCTTTAGGCCTGGGTCCCCAGACATGCGACGTCCTGACTTTTTCAGGACGGCGCCCCTGGAAGTCCCGACCCTTTCCTCGGGACCGGTTTTGCATCCTGAGTCGTTTCTTGACGGTCCCGCGGCCCGGCGAGGGCCCCCAGAGGCCGAAAACGAGGAAAAACCTCCGTCCTGAATTTTTTACGCCGCGAGCATGTCGGTCCAGATTGTTTCAGGACGGCGCCCCTGGAAGTCCCGACCCTCTTCTGCCCGGGAGCGGCTCTTCGCCCCGCGTCGTTTTTTTGGCCAGCCCCGAGGCCGCGGCGAGGGCCCCCCCCCCAGGGCCGAAGATGGCCCCAAGCCTCCCGCCCTGAGATTTTTTTGTCTACGACGCGATCATGCCTGGGTCTCCTCCTTTGGACGCGTCCCCTGGCGAGGGCCCCCCCCCAGGGCCGAAGATGGCCCCCAGCCTCCCGCCCTGATTTTGTTGTCTGCGGCGCGATCTTGAGAGGCCTGGGCCGGCCTCCGCTGGGCCGGGCCTCCGCCGACCCAGTAGGGAAGGAGGAGGGAGGATGAGGGAGGAGGAGGAAGGAGGAGGTGAGAGGAGGGGAGGAGGATGAGGAGGCAGGAGGAGGGAGAGTGAGTGGAGGGGGAGGGGGACGGGGGAGGAGGGGGGGTGGGGCAGGGGAGGGATGGGAGAAGGAGAGAAGGAGGAGGAGGAGGAGGGAGGTGAATCGGAGGAGGAGGGAAGGAGGAGGAGGAGAGAGTAGAGGGGAGGGAAAGAGGATTAGGGGGGCGGGGAAGGGGAGGGGGGAGAGCGAGGAGGGGAGAGCCATGAGGGGGGGAGAGGAGGACGGAGGAGGAGAGATGAGAGGAGGAGAGGAGGAGGAGGAGGAGGAGGAGTGAGGATGGGAAGGGTGGGGTGAGGAGAGTAGGAGGAGGCGGAAGTTGGAGGGGGAGGTGTTATGAGGACTCTGTATAGGGCTGTAGGGGGGATGGAGGCGGGGGGGGGGTATTGTTAGTGGGGGGAAGGAGTGCAAGGTCACTTGGGGGAGTGAGGGATGATAGCCCTAGGAGGTGGGGAGAGAAAGTGGAGGATGATAGGAGGTAGGAGATGGGAGGAGAGGATGAGGAGGAGGAGGAGTGACGAGGGGGAGGAGGAGGAGGAGGAGGAGGAGGAGGCGGAGGAGGCGGAGGTTCAGGCCTCGGCCCGAGCGTTCCCGGGGCCGGCGCGGGGCCCCCCCCTCCCACACCTCGGCGGCGCTTTTTCGCGCGCCGGCGCGAGAGCGCCGAGGCCTGCCGACCCCGGAGACGTTGCGCGGAGCCTCTGGCAGGTGGTGCTCTTGTGCCGAGCGTTGTGGCGCCTGCGGCCAGCATCGGTCCCGCTCATGAGCCAGACCCCCTCGAGTCATGAAAAAATCATGACGGGATGTTTTTCCTAATTTTCGGCCTCCAGGGGCCCTCACCGGGCCTCGGGAGCGTCAAAAAACGACTCGCCTGGTGCTCTTGTGCCGAGCGTTGTGGCGCCTGCGGCCAGCATCGGTCCCGCTCCCGCTTATGACCCAGACCCCCTCGAGTCATGAAAAAATCATGACGGGATGTTTTTCCTAATTTTCGGCCTCCAGGGGCCCTCACCGGGCCTCGGGAGCGTCAAAAAACGACTCAGGATGCAAAGCCGGTCATGGGGAAAGGGTCCAGACCTCTGGGGGTCGACGTAATGAAAAAATCATGACGTCGGGGGTCTGGGGATTAAGAAACCTCCATTCGAAAAGCTGGCCCAGCGTTTCTTCACCAACTCGCCGGAAAGCTGGCTCAGCTTCTTAAGGGGATTGCGGTAGCCGTGGACCCTAGAATTGAGCAGTGTACCTTCCTGGCTCCAGGAGCTGGCCTGGCGTTTCCTTCAGAAACTTTTGAAAAGCTGGCCCAGCTTTCTTAATTGATAATTGTCTTAATCATATTTTTGACTGTGAGTCGGATGGGCCCGTTTTCCACCACCACCATAAGGTGGAGGGGGAGGGGGTCCTCCTCCTCCTCCTCCTCGACCATCTCCTCTTCCTCCTCTTCGTCGTCCTCCTCCTCGTCCTCCACCTCCTTGCCCTCTCCAACTTGTGGTGGTGGTGGTGGTGGCGGAAAGTAGGCCCATCAAAGTCGGGCATGTCGCCCTACAGGAGGAATTTTCAAAAGTAGTCAAGAAATGGTCTGGGGACGATGTTCGGACGATTTCTGGCTAGTTTCGAACCTCTTGTGACAATTTGTTAACCGTTCGCCCAGAATCCGCCTGTAGGAGGACATGCTCGACCTAAGACCGGCAGCCTGTGCGCTTCGCCGCCGCGTCGGAGGGAAAAGGGCTCCCGGGGGGAGCTGACCACCCCTGGGGACGGAGCGGCATCGCCTCCCCTCGCGCGTTGACAACGTGGAAAAGACGCAATCACACTGCATCGTGGCGTGCCTGGTGTGTGCATGCGCTCGTGGCAACGCACGGGCATTCGTGGCGCATTGAGGGTCGCATCATCAGATGTCTTCGCTGCAGTGTGAGGGGAGCAGACACTTCTATCCTGTGTAGGATCCGAAAATCATCTGGGGGGTGCTGACAGCGGGCCTCGCGAGCCGACGACGATCGGGAGGCGCGCCAGGTGATGGGATTCGGGAAGGATCAAGAAGGATAAAGGGAATCGGTAACCCGCGCGTCGTCCCTCCAACTGTATAGGTTGCTTGCTCGTGTTTTTTTTTGTGTGTGTGTGTGTGCGCGCGCGTGTGTGCGTGTGTGTGTGTGTGTGTGTGTGTGTGTGTGTGTGTGCGTGCCTGCGTGCGTGCGTGCGTGCGTGCGTGCGTGCGTGCGTGTGTGTGTGTGTGTGTGTGTGTATGTGTGTGTGTGGGTGGGTGGTGTGGGGGAGGGGGGGGAGGGGGGGTGTGGGCAGGGCTCGGGTGAGAGAATGCGTGCGTGTGTGTGTGTGTGTGTGTGTGTATGTGTGTGTGTGGGTGGGGGGGTGCCTGTGTGTGTGTGTGTTTGTTCGAACGCCCGGCATGCTTGCAGTTGTCGTCCGACAGGCGTGACGTTAATGCCGGCTTGCTCTCCGAGGGATGCATTCGATTTGGAGGACAGCGGGCCCATCGGTCGTCGTCGCTGTGGGCCGACCGCAGCAGCAGAGCCGCGACCGACGATCCCCGCGCGACGGCGGTCCCCTCCGTCCGTGCGCGCCTGTGAGCGGGAGGGGATGCATCCGGGCTACGTCTCGGAAGCGGAGAGGAGAGAAGCTGGGTACAGGGCATGTTGGTGTGCGGGCGGGGGGGTGGGGGGTGGGAAGAGAGGGAGCAGGAGCAGGAGGAGGAGGAGAATGCACAGGAGGAAGAAGGAGGGAAGGACGAGGGAGGTGAGAAGGAGGATCTCGCCTTCCTCGATCATCGTCGTCGCAAGGTGCCGAGACGGCCCAACAGCAGAAGGAGGAGGTGGAGGAGGGTGGTTAGGCTCGCCCTGCCTGGCGAATTTGTCGCACGCGGGGGGTAACTTGTGGAATCTGGACACGGCTTAGCATCAGGCCCTAACTCCCGAGTGGAGGGAGAGGAGCTGGTGCACGAAGGGAGGAGGAGGAGGAGGAAGTATAGGAGGACGACGACGACCAGAGTAAACCCAGGATGTATCTCAAGTTTTGGTTTCAAGTACCTTGCTCAGTCGCCCCTGCGAGCACTCTCTGGAGGAGGAGGAGGAGGAGGAGGAGGAGGAGGAGGAGGAGGACGAGGAGGAGGAAGAGGAGGAGAATAAGGAGGAGGAGGAGGAAGTGGAGGAGGAGGACGACGACCAGAGTGAACCCGGGAGGTACCTCAAGTTTTGGTGTTTTAAGTCCCCTGCTCAGTCGCCCCGGCGAGCGCTCTCTTCTGCGGCGCGAGGCGCCCGAAAGGCGAGGGGCCCCGCGGGCCCGCAGGTTGGGCCGGTGCTCCGCTCCGGAGGAGAGCGCCCTCCAGCCTCCGAGCCACAGCCGCAGGGGAGTGCGGCACGGCGGGGCTGCAAGCGTCGGCAGGGGGTACCCCGCGGAAGCCCCGGTGTCCGAAAAAGGGGCCCTGCACCCGAGCAGCTGTTGCACAGGCGCGGGTCGTGACCACGATGCCGCACGAGGTGTGGGGCGGTGGCCCCGTGCTCAACGAAAAGCCGCCCTCCATCAGTGTGTAGGTTGCAAAAACTGTTAGCGCACGTGGTCGTACCTGTCGAGGAGGAATCTTTCGATGGCCCCGTGCTTAACGAAAAGCCGCCTTCCGCCTGTGTGTAGGTTGCAAGAACTGTTAGCACACGTTGTCGTACCCGTCGAGGAAGAATCTTTCGATGGCCCCGTGCTTAACGAAAAGCCGCCTTCCGCCTGTGTGTAGAAGCAAGACTGTTAGCACACGTTGTTGTGCCCGTTGAGGAAGAATCGTTCGATATGCCCATTCAACAAGCTGCCGGTCTCCGTCCGTGCAGCGGTCGAAAGCCTGTGGGACGAGCGTGCGCGGCGCGAAGGTCAGAGCCGCATGACGAACACGATGGGCATCCACGAGTGTAGTCGTTGGAAGCTTTCACAACGACAATTGCGCGACGTTGAGGCGAGAGACGTATTTTGAAAAAACGGGGGGACCTCTGTCCGCGCAACTGCTGGAAAATTTCGGCGTCGGGATCGTGAAGTGTGGGGAAGTCTTCAGGCGAGACGCCCAGCCCAGCCTGCGGAGATGTAGTGATGCAGTGTGGCGCAATAGGGGTGATTTGTTTTTGAAGGCGATGGCTGGAGGAGGAGGAGGAGGAGGAGGAGGAGGAGGAGGAGGAGGAGGAGGAGGAGGAGGAGGACGGAGGAGGAGGAGGGAGGACGAGGAGGCCGAGGACCATTCAGGACCAGTCAGAGAAGGCCAGCCAAATACGGTGCCTTAAATTTGGCCCGCGGGGCGGCGGCGAGAGCCTCGGCCACCCCTGCCCGAGGGGAAGTCCCTCAGGGGACAGGAGGCCAAACAGTTGCAGAATTGCATGCTGTACTTCGTGTTACTGCAACTTTTTGTTCTCCACTTGCTGCTTGTATTTCTGCTACGCCGTGGCGGTGCACAGGTGCCATCACTGTCGTGGTTGTGTGCTTCTACTAGCACTTGCACCTGGCCCCTCCCTCGCGCAGGTCTCCTGGCCTTCTACGGAGGCCAAAGAATAGAGAGCCCCGCGCCGCGGGGACTCCCAGCATGCCCCAGCAGCCACCCCCAGCAGGGCGGCCCTGCCCAAACATCCCAGGCCGCGACGCGGCCGCACCGGAAGCGCCGTGCAGCCGCACCGCCCTGGGCGCCAGCGGCCCCGCGCGACAGCAGCCGGGCCCCCGTCTCGTGCACCCATCGCGCCCTCAGATCAGGCGAGGGGCGCCGCGGCTCCGCGGTCCCTTGGACTCTGCGGGCGCGCGTCGCAGGCCCGAGGGAGCCGCGCCTGACGGCCCCCGAGGAAGACCCCAGGAGGGGGAGGGACACCGAGCCGACGGGCCCAGGGGACCCCGAGCCAACGGAGTGCCTCGGCAACGGGGAGATCCCGAGCCCGCCCCACCCGATGCCCCACCCTCCCTTCGCCCACCCTCGCCCAGGGGAGGGACCCCCGAAGGGCCGGCGCCCAGGCACCTACCCCCCGTCTTGCGGCCTGGTTCCCGGCTTCAGTCATACCCCTTCCGATGCACAGGCGGGCGCCGGCCTTTTCTGGGCCCCGGCTATCCCGATATGCTCACCGGGCCCCCAGCTTGTGCGGGGGGGGGAGGGAGGAGACGAGAGGAAAAGAAGGACAGGCGGGGGGAGTCAGAAGGGGCCGGCCGCGGAGGGGAGAGGACGGAAGAGAAGGCAGACCAGAGAGAGCGGGAGAAGGGGGTGGAGGAGCGGGAAAAGAGGAGGGAGGAGGAGGGGGGAGGAGGAGAGGAGGAGGAGGAGGAGGAGGAGGAGGAGGAGGGAGGAGGAGGAGGGATTGAGGAGGAAACACGATATCGGAGGAGGGAGGGATTGGAGGAGGAGGAGGAGGAGGAGGAGAGGGACCGAGGAGGGCGGGGGGGGGGGGGGGGGGGGGGGACGGCGGAGGACGGAAGAGGAGGAGGAGGAGGAGGAGG